GCATTTTCACCCGTCCTTTGGGCTTAATTGAAGTCCGATTTCGCGCAATTTCGTGAACTTCGTGTACTTTGTGTGTGTACGTGACGAAAGAGTCGTGACGAATGTTTTCCTAAGGCTTGAAGTCCTATTTGGAACATTCTCCTCGAATCTTCGCAAAATAGCCCATAACCGCTCGTTCATAAGACGATGGTCTTGTGCCAAAGATGCTAGACATCAAAGGAAAATAGGAATTGGCTGAAATTTCTAGAAAGGTGAGTCCCAATTCTAGTTTTCTAAGATAGTCGATTAGGAATTTCTAGAGCTAGAATCTAGGCTCTAAGGAGGAGAAGACAAGACCTCACAAAAATGAGGTCAACAATATGCTAATAATTTTCTTTTCAGGTTTAATTCTTTGGTCCGAGATTGTTAGTTCATATTTTAAAGTTTGTTATTCAGTTATGAGTTACACTACAACTAGCGTAGACGTAATTATAGATAATAGTTTTAAAAATAATGCCGTAAAAATAAAAAGATTTGAATATAATATTATAGCTATAAAGATTGTTTTTGATACTATGATATTTAATGTGATAGGTGCTTTTGCTCCTCCAATAGTTTTAAATATATGTTTAAAATAAAAATTTTTAAATGACATAGAAAAAATAATATAAAGGATACCTCTTGAAGTAGAATCTTTATTGGAGGAGATTTAAACATGTTTGTAGAGTAGTAAAAATTTTTAAAAGTATTCATGGTGGTTATGGTTTTAAAGTGATTAATGAATAGCGTAGAGGCTTATTGGATTTTATCTTACTTTATGATGTTATTATTAATACTTTATTTTAGAAAATATACGAGCATATTATCATTTATAAGATCCACACAGATTGATTTTTGTCATATGGGAAAATAAAATTATCAAGATTTTGAAGATTGTAAGGTTATTTCAAGTAAAAATTTAAGTACCTAACATTAATTATTGGTTTTGAATTTTAAGATCAAGGGTTGGAATATTAAAAGTATAATAAAATATTAGCATAAAATTAGATGAAACACTTAAATAGAATTATTTTTATAAGTAAAATTTAAAATCTTAAAATTTTGGATATTCATAAAGAAGATAATACTATATTGAATAAAATAATGAGTGCTATTAAACAAATTGCAATAGATATGTCTGGAGAATCAATAAGAAAACTATTTTGAATAATAGTTGGTGGTGGAATAATAATGGGTACGAAAAATATAAAAAAGAAAAAGTTTTGTTATAAAAATTAGCTTAGATGTAAAAACTAGGAGAATTGAAAAAAGTCTTAAGGTAGCTTGTAGGGAGTTTAATCAAATAATTTATGATGCTAAGAATTCTAATTTTAAGTTATTTATAATAGATTAGATATTAAAAGGATGAAAGATATATTTATAAATTAGCAAAATAAAGATAAGAAATGTAAATATTTAGGTCAAGTATAGTGTATTATGGATGAAAATTAAAAATTATTTTTCTTAGATGTAATTCTTTTTTAGTTGTGTGGTAAACTAGGAATTATTATAAAGAATACATAAAATTTATAAATTGCAGACTTATAAATTTCACCTCCAATGTTCACTTTAAATGCCAGGTAAATTCTGCATTAATATTAGCCATTTGCTTGGGCTACATGTATTGGACGATGTAAGAAGAAGATTGATGCTGAAATAAACAAAAAGCTGCTCATTTTCTTGTACTTATAAAACAAAAGTAAATAAAATAATTATTAGTTTTGTTTTGTGCTGCATGTATGTTTGCGGTGTGCTGTTTGATCCCAAAGTTCTTGGATAGATGTAATTAACTTGGCTAATCAACCAAAGCAAATTGTTGGAGATTCATAATATCCAGTTCTCTTTGTTACGTGAATTCAAACATAAGTTCGCTATGTTTTCTTGTCCTTTATAAAATTTAAAACAAAATCTTTTTTCTTGATCGTTTTTATAACATGATATTAGCATGCTTGATAAACTCATTTTTTGTGTTGTGTGTTGTTTGTAAACTATTGAAGAATGCTAAATGTTGATCATGTCAATCATCATTATCATCATTAGCCTTGTACCAATCGTTCGGGGTAGACTTTATGAATTCTCATTCATCATTCCTTCTTGTTGAACGTTATGTAAGCCTATTCTTTGAATAATTTTGAACATCTATTCATTTCACTTAAAGTCTAACCATTATACCTAGTAATCCTTCAACACCAATTTTTTCTAGCGTGCCTCATATCGAGCATTTTCAACATTTTGCTGTACATGTCCAATGCACCAAGTTTATTTTCAATTGTGTTATCTTCCAATAGATACCACTCATATTATTCTTCTAATATGACCATTTATTAATATATCCTTCCAGCTTTTTCATATTTACATATTAATATTATCATTTTCTCTTTTCTTAAAATAGCTGTTTATGCCTATTTTACTCTAAAACTCTATACATACATTCCAAGCCTAGTTACAAATTTACAAAAGTATCCTTTTATTTGATATACTTTTATTTGTAATACTCTTGAGGCAGTTATTCATTTTAATCTTTTTTGTCTTAAAGTGATATACTTATTTATATCCCTATTTTTCTATATAATTGATTCAAGTGCTTGAACCTTTTTCACGTTGGTATTATTATATCTTGCAATAATGTTAACTAATAATTTTTAATATGATATCCATTGTAATTTCATATATACTTGGTCTTATTTTACTAATTCTAAGTTCTTCATTTACATTATCAATTATCTCACTAATATTAATTGACAATTGCAAAGAGCATATACCAAGTCACCTCACTTTCAATATATCCTATAACAATCTCCATATAAGTGCAAAAAGATATATACTAAATGGTTTCCTTTGATGTTATTCTATTGTAATTGGAAGCTCTTTGATCACGACACAACTACTTTTAATAGTAGCTAGTGCAATATTACACATAGATTTAATAACTTTAATTTAACTTTGATACCTACAAAGCACTGCCATGGACATAAGCTACAAAAAATAATATTTATTAATATTCTTTATAATTATATTTCAAAATTTTATAAAGTTTATGTAATCATGAATAACAATTATTAGGAATGATTGTAATGTTGTTTTTTAAACAAAAATACTCAAAACGTATATAATCTCCAAATGATTACACAAAATATGAACATATTGATATAACACTAATTAAACCAATTAAATATGATATCGAGATGCTCTATGATTGCCTAATCTGGAAAAATATTATTAAACAAGAAACACCTGCAAGTGCTTGTCATATCATGGCCAAATTTCACTTTATTTTTGCGAAGCTTATATAATCCTGTACAATACATCAACATTAATATTCATCATTAGAGTTGATTTTAATATTGCGTTGCAAAAAAAAAAGCATTATATTCGAGAAAATAACCATATAAAATATGAGCACATCAATGTCATTAATTGAAGGCAATAGATTCAACACTGGTTCACCCATTGATATCGTAACCTGAATAAAATTTACTGATCAATGAGCACCTTGTATGTAGTTGTTTGCATCGACCGATCTTTAGGTAGTGTTTTACAGAACTTTTGGAATGAAGCACATGGTACACAATTTTTAATGTATCATGTCTAACAAGGACAGGAAAGGCTTTTTGAAGTGTCCATGTTCTATAGTTTGACACTTAACATTCTTTTTTGATCCATTTCACATCAGTTCCTGTTGTAATCAATCATGTATATTGGCAAAATCAGTAAAACCATTTGAATCTTTTCTCTACAATCTACACTTCTCTATGAATTATCTAAATTTAAAAATTGCTTCATTCTCTTAATAGTAATGTAATATTTCTAGTTACGTCACTCTCCATAGTTACCACTTATGATTTATAAGTTTGATTTCTTTTGTAATTAGACAAACCTGAGCATCACCTTTGTTCTTAATATTAGTGTCAAAATGCTTTTTCATTAATTCTTTGACATTCTTTAAGTCCTCAAAATTTCATCGAACAGGATTACTAATCTCATAACCCTTTGAATCTTTATAGGCATCACATATAAACATAAAGGTTAACATTTATACAACTTGTTTAGAGATAACTGCACTTTACTTTTATGGATCAATATATAATATATTTTATTATTGCTTATTACATTGTTCCTAAATAATTTCTTTCATAAAACTTTAATTTAATAATTTTTTCATAGTAAGATTTATAGCTTTATTTGATGGTCATATTTAAGTCAATGAAAAATGAAGACTTTTAATTTGCTCACTACACTCTTTACAGGACAATATCAATCATCTCAGTGATGGTAATAATTTCCTTGGACAAAATTGACAATTGATTCTAATCAATTAAACTTGCAGGTTAGGCATTATTACTATCGCCTAGTTAGACGAATGAACAAGTTGCTCAGTCCTGGATTTTGTCTTGATGCAAAGAACTCCAAGGACACAAACGCTGCAATGCTTAGATGGTAATGTACTAATAAAAGCTGCAGATGTCAACATATTGATTTCAATGCATCTTATGGGCATGTGAGGTTTATTTAATAAGATTATGCTTCCTTTATAGACACTGTCTTGGTCTTTCATCGTTTTGGTGTTCAACTTCCTTAATCCACATTTTACACCAATCCTTTTGTTCACTAATAGCACCATTCACAATTTTATTCTGAAAGTTAGACATAGCTTCTTCAATGAAAGTTAGGCAGCTCGCAAGCAAATCTTTTTCATGGCCACACATTTATATGTTCTACTGTGTGAGTTCGTTTTATTGGATAAAAGATTGAACCATTAGTTAATCAGAGCCCTGATGTGTTACATGACTTAATTTCTTGAGGGTATTCACTATTGTTAACTTGCGAATCATTCATCAAATTTTGCCTGTTATTTATTTACTTATTTATTGAAGTTCTTGTTTGTCTCGGTTTGCTCCTGGACACAGCTGACATTTTGTATCTTGATGCAAATTGAGAAAAGAAAAATACTATGCAATACTTTTCCACTTACTCTTTCTTTTACTTTCAACCCACGAGCGCACGTGCGCGCATACACACAACAAAATAAAAATAAAATCAGAATTAACTTCGCAAAACCTAATTTTATTTGCACTCACACTTTTTCCATGCATTTCTCAATGTTTTCTAATATCTTGTTCACCTATCTCTCTCGGAATTATCCTCATCCTGCCTAAGTAACTGCCATATTTTTTGTGATGATCTTTCTTAATTGAATCCCATGCCATTATATGCCATATTTTGACCGTTTTATAGCTTATAACAGGTTTTATTTTTATCTTTGCACCTGTGTTCTTGTTACTTACGAGTAAGAACAGCATGGATATTATCATGCTGCTCTGTTCTCATGGTATTTTTTATGCAATTAAATCACAGCCTCCAAAATATTTTCTTTCTTAAACAAATATTTCTGTTGAAGTACACATTGTTTGATTTTACCTCTTGTGTGTAGTCCAACTGGCTTTTTTTCTTTGGACCTGAATATATTGATGGTTGGTTCCTTTCAATCTCAAGTTGTAGTTTACACATCTTTAATTGTAAAGACGAATCTACTATGGATGGTTGATTTGGAATTGATAGAGGGGAAGGCTTATGCAACCATTATGAATTGGGCACGTGCTTCCTTACATCTCTTTTTAAATCTGCCCTTGCTTGTAAGGAATATTTGCAATTTTTTTTCTCTAGATTCTGAATCATGGCTTTCCCTTACATGCCATTTGATCCTACCATTGAAATCAATTATTGAATGATGATATTTTTGAAATAAGGTCAACACTTTACTTATGATGTTCATCTTAATTACATCAAGTCCGAAATTATTTCTAATACAAGCTAAATAGATCCTTTATTTAATGTAACTATGTGGTAGTTTCTTGATTCTATTCACATAAATCTCTCTCTTTGCACCCACTTAAATTTAAAGTTCAAGTTGCATTTTGCAATTTAATTCTCCTTTTGTATCTGTAATGCTACCCTTATGAGATATTGTTACAATTTTTTCTCGAGAGCCTCCCGAATCATGCCTCTTCTTTTGTATGCCATTTGCTCCCATAAATGCAGTTAATTTTATAATGATGATAATCTAGAAATAAGGTCTACTATGCTTGGCCAATGATGTTTATTTTAATATACCAAAATAAAATTAATTTAATCCAAGATACATCTTTTCGTGCATATTTTTGATTTGATTGTAACACTAAAGTGTAGATAAGTAATTATTTGCAGTTTAGATGTTTGATATATAAATGTGTAAGACTTGTGTGATATGTGAACATCCCACCTTTTCTTGACAGAACCTATTTATATGATGTTCTAATAAAGCTAGTATATTTTTTATTGATTGCATCTTGATCATTGTTGACTTAAGTTGAAGCTAATTTATTTTCCCAATTAGTGATTTGTAATTATATGAAAACTATTAATTCAAAGAGAACTCCTTTTCTCTCCTCCTTTGAAGCATCTTCATAAAAAACTAATCACCTCTTTTGAAGTCATCAATACTTTTCCAACATCAAGCTCAACGTGATGGTAAATGGTTGGCCTTCTATGGTGCTCATGCTATGGTCCTGGTCCACTCTAGTACTTTATATTCCTCATGAGTCACCCTTGCATAAACTATTGACTCTTTTATGGAGATCATATTAGGTAATATCACCAAGGAGTTTTTTTTTATTTATCTTTTTTAATCTTCTCTGTCTTCTCTCTTTGTTGGTTGACTCTTAGTTTCTTCATGTTTTTGATGCTACTAGAACAACCATAAATTTTTTAAGAGCGGCTAACATGAAATGCATCTATTTGGTTTTCCATATGGGCATTTTAAATGTAAAAATGGAGACGAAGCTCATATTCCTTCGCATTTCACTTAATTATTTCTTCAATTGATTGATGTTTTTTTTTTACTTCACAAGTCTTTCTAGATTTTTCTGAAAATTTTTCGCAATCCGTAATGAAATACAATGGGTTGAAATTAATGCTTTGATACCAATTGTGCCATCATGGGGGTGTGGAACCTTCATACAATCAGTAGTAATTATCATGGACGAGGGAATTAGGGATTCTATGGAGGAATATGAGCTTGTCACATTATAATTAACATTGGTTTGCTGCCTTGTTCATGGGAATCCTGCTCTTTTTTATGACCTCAGGGCACATGCTCGAGAGAAAGAGAGATTGAGGAGAAAAAATATTCAATGCTTTAGATTTGATTTTACATATTAAAGTCATTCCATCTATTTAAAATAGGCATCAAATTTAATTAACTCAACAAGTTTAGGAATTTTTAAACAAAATATCCCAGCAATAATTTAAATTATAGATAAGTATTAGATTAAATCAAAAGTGAAATTCTTTATTTGTCTTCTTAAGCTGGTGGCTGACCATATATAAATGGTTGGAGAAATTCAGGAAGAGAATATTGGATTATTACCTGCATTATCTCAATATAAATCTCTCTAGTATCCTACATTGGCCTCTCACCTATATTTAAAGTTTAAATTGCATTGTTTTCAATTTTGTTCACTCTCTATTCAATTTGAACTTTTATCTTTTTAAGGTTATCTTTGTGAAGTTTTCCTAAGAGCCTCCTAGATCAATAGTAGACACCTTGATGCGCTTTCAGCCAAGTAGGCTGTCTATAGATATTTTAAATCAGCTAGTCATGGTTGGTCGTTTGGATTTCTAATGGTTTATTCAGTTGGGATTGACGAATCGGTTCTTTTCTTGGGTGATACAAATAGATCTCTTGCAAGTGTTGGCTGCCTCATTGGCCTATGTTGCATTAGTACTTTCAAAGGGATGCCATCTCTGTATATAGAACTTTGTTGAGGTACCCTCATATTCCTATGATGTTGAATAAGTCAGGTGGAAATTTCTTAAAAAAATATGCAACATTGTTACAAATAATGCAGAGTATGATGCCATTTTTAAATATAAAAATATCAGAGCTATTAATAGCATGAAAATGTGGTACTACTATCTATTATATTCCTTATTGATATGATAAATACTATCAATATTTCTTTTTCTAATGAAAATTGTATGCACATCTTTGTAAATTCGACATTGGTATTTATGTTTTACTTTTTTTTGCAGGTGTGCACTAACATTGCTTTGATAAGTATATTATATTTTCGTACTTGCCCATGTGCATATGCATGCATGCACTTACAACTACACTTTGTATTTGTCGAATCCTATATTCTTCAAGTTTTTTATTTTCACATCCTTTATCTCTCAAAAATTTCCATGCTTTATATTAAGCTCGGTAATCCGCTAGTATATGTCCTTATGTTCTAAAATATAGGATTTTTAATACTCATTCAACATGCAAATGTTGCTTTAAATACAATTAGCTAGTGAAACAAATATGTAGGATGCTCACTAATCGACTTTTTGATGTTGATTACTCATTTAAACTCAAATGTTGCTTTAAATATGATCAGTTAGTGAAACAAATATGCAATTTTTGTATGAAAGCAATTTATGTAATAAAAAAATTTGTTCTTATTACTAAAATTTAACAAAAGAAAATAATGATGTGAAAGCCGCACAATTGATTTAAATTTCATGCACAGAAAAAAAGCCAAATATAGGCAGAGTTAATAAAAATCTTTTGTAATTTCAAACAATAACGTGAAAGAAGAGGAGAAGAAAGAGAAATGGAAACAAAGAAAAGGAGTAATTAATATAAAAACCTCACACCTGAACATTGATAATGCTTTTATAAAAGTACTATCAATAATAAAATAGCCAATTGAAGCGGAAGGAGATAACATTAGATGAGTTAGAACCTTTCACTTTCTTAGACTAAAACAATGTGGTTGGACTCAAGTGTGACACTTGATCAAGGATTAAAACCTCTGAAGGATAATGATTTATATATTCAAAAATAATTTATTATTAATCCTTATAATATTCTCTTTTTTTATGTACCTTGACAAACCTTTTTATGAATCTTATACAAATTCAAATATGATGTAAAATATTGTCTAAAAAGAAGCTCTAGGAAAATTGAAGGACCCCAAGAATTGCAAGGAGCATTAATGCATCACTTGAGAACTCCTGGGAATAGAAATAATTCCATTATGTTCATGAAGAAATTCACTTATAATAATAGTCGATCATTTGAACCAACCATAGAATAAACTATAATCCAACCAAATTTTGTCACAAACATGAAAATGATCACTAGAATTGCCCCACATAAATGGTTGTATGGAGTTCTTAAATGTTGAGTTTAAGTTTAATACTTACCTTGAATAAGATTATTCTTATTTTTTCATGATTGGTGGCTTCCACAAAACCTTAGTTGGTGGCTTCCACAAAAACTTAATTGGTGGCTACTTAAATAGTAGCTATCTCCAAATCTTAAGTGTAGTATCATGTAGTCCTACGTAGAGATTACCATAAACGTCCACAATGAAGGCTCTAAAAGTCTTTAATAGTGACTGTTAATTAAT